TTTTTTAAATTAAGATTTATTTATTTATTTGAGAGCAAGAAAGCAGGAGAAGTTCCCGAGGGAGAGGGAGAGAAAGTCTTAAGCAGACTCTGCACTGGGCAAGGAGCCCCACTTGGGGCTCGATCTCATGACCCCGAGATCAAGACCTGAGCTGAAACCAAGAGTTGGATGCGCTTAACCGACTGTGTCACCCAGGTGCCCTGAATCTATTTTTCTTAACAGAACACTACTACTAAATTAATGCCTTCCTAATAGACCCATCAACAATATGCCCTTAATGATGCCTCTTCATGAAGCTTCTACCTGGGTTTAGAAGATCTAAAAAGAATACAACATGACATCTGTTCTCTGGATCTTCGCATTAAATTTAAGGTGACTAACTCCTCCCAGCTTACCTGAGACTTTCCCAGTTGTAGCACTGAAGTCCCACATGGCGGGAACTCCTTCAGCCCTGGGCAAACCAAGATGATTGGCTACCCTAACTAAATTCACGAGGTGCTAAAGAAAGGCATTTGGAATTACGTTACTTTAAATCAGCCTTGCAAATAAAAGTTTGCAAACATGAATCTGTGAAACCATCCTGTGGTTTCCTTCCCATATCACAGCCGTGGTGCCAATAACCCCTGAACCCATTTGAGCAAAGGCTTTGAGCTGTATTTCGCACTTTTACTAAGATTCCTGTTTGCTTATCCCCTGAATGTGTCAGGGCTCAGCCTGGGAAATGAAATCTCTTCTGTAGTTCATAGTTACATTAAAACTACGATTCGTCAACTTCCCAGAGAGGTGCTGCAGCATTTAGAGCACCAGATCCCGAAGGGAAGGCAAGAGAAGTCCAAGTCCATAATCTCTTCGGGAGTCAGAAGAGTGAACTCTAGAGAAGACTTATTATTTATTTATTTATTTATTTATTTAGGGAGGGTGGGCAGAGGGAGAGGGAGAGAGAGAATCTGAAGCAGGATCCACACCCAGCGTGGAGCCCGACTCGAGGCTCCATCATCCCATGACCTGAGATCATGACCTGAGCCGAAACCGAGAGTGGAAGGCTTAACTGACTGAGCCACCCAGGCGCCCCTAGAAAATATTTATCAATGTTATTTCTAGGCCATTTCTATTTCTTAGTCATCCCTAACTCTAAGGAACTCACCCCCTTTAGCTGCTAAGGTTATCCTGAAACTGCAGACGGTGAGTTCAAACATAACTTGTGGATTGAAAATGTCAACACCTTTGAACTGGTGCATTAGAGAGAATCGGGAGAATATGAACGTTCTCAGATCTATGACCCAACCTCCCGGCAGATGGAACATCTTGGGTATTTTCTTTCCCTGATGATTCATGTGGATGGGTGTTTGGGTGTTTAAATTTTAGAACGTTCTTCTCAACCAAAACTGAAACCGAGAGGCGCAATCACTCTGGAATTTTTTGCACCTGCAAAAACAGTTGTGTTACTAAAATCAGCTGCCTTCGCTTCGCAGGCTGCTGCATGTGATGGTGGTGTTTCTCCAGCCACGCGTGTACGGGGTTCACTGCCAGGCACTTATACAGTCCTGGCACAGGACCTCTCACGGAGCCAGCATTCTCTGTTCCAACGCGTTTATCACGCAGATCCAGAGAAACGGACCAAACCTCCAAAGAGCAGCTTGCTTAGAGCAACAGAAGGGCACGTGCAGCGTCTCTCCACAAGAAACTGGTCAGAGGACTCCAGAAAATGCTTTTCAGACCGTGTGCACTCTGAATTGTCCTACATCTTGATCCTTCCCCAGCATGACTCAGGTTCTTGGACAGACTTAACATTTCTGCTAAAACCAGCTATTAGGCCTGGCCACTTCCTTCATTCCTGGCACTATTTTCAGTATCAGAGACATGGAGCCCCTGCACCTGTTGCTGGAGCCGCACAAGGAAACCTCTACAAACCCTCATTTGTCCCCATGGCACAGGCAGGGATGCCCGAGCTGTGGCAGGGGGGCCAGGGTCAGTGTCCAAAGGGGCCTGTTGGAACTCAGAGGCCAGGCAGCCTCAGGAGGGAACAATTCTTGGCACCTTCTTGGCACCCCCTGGGGCTCCTCTCCGGGTCAACAGCTGGCCACGGCCCCGGGGGCGCAGCCAAGAATTCCAGCCCTGTTCTTTTGATACTGGGATGGCGGATCCCAGGGGAGGAGGAGGAGGTTCTGAGGATGACTGCCAACCTCGTTTGTCATGTTGGGATGCAACTGTGACTTTGATGCTTACAGTCCCGTGGGCTGTGATGCTTTTGGGGAGGGGTCCACTGCAGCCTGGGAACAGATGGAGAGTTGGCTCCCGGCCCCCTTGGCTGGTCAAGGGTCGGGTCCCGCTGGCTCTGATCATCCTGGCCCTGGTTATGCCACTGGATGGAATTTTAGCATGAGGTAGCTGAACACCACCAGGTAGATACCGGTTTCTGCTCCTGTTCTCTTTCCAAACCAAAACTGGTCCCGAGACATTGGATATCTGGCATGGCATGCCAGGGACTCATCTTGGCTATCTCACTGCAGATCTCTTCCTAGCATGCTTTTTGTCTTTCTTCAGTAGAAACTGGCAGAAGAGCGGGGTTCTTATTTTCACCTTTTATCTGGGTCTGTTTGTCCACAGCTAGAATAACAGGGGCTTTTAAAAACCTAATGCATTCAATGTTCAAAGAATGGCCTCAAGCAAATGGAATGTCTAATGTTCCCTCTCTCCGGCTTAGGGCAGGAGGCCACTGGGGGCTTAACATCTTTTTCATTCACAAGCAAAATATTTCCAAAAGCACAAGTTTTAAAATTCAGAACCTTGAGACGGAATTACTAATAATCTTCCTCATTCCTAAAATGTTCACCTCAGTAGTAGGTACCTGATAGTTTAGTATACTTTAAATGTGAAGAAAAAAAAAAAGGAAGAAAGGGATACCGTTTGGAGGTTTTGATGTCCAGTGGATTTGTGTGTCTTTCTTATCCATGTGTATTTCTTCCTCTCTATAAATACATTTGAATAGACTAAACACCTCCTTTGGCAGCTACTTCATCAAAACATTGAAAAAATGCTACGGTTGAGCATGGATTTATTTAGATATTTGCAAGTGGTGTTCTGGAAGCCCTTTGCAGTTCAACGATGGGCTGGGTTCTCTCAGCCTTCTGACTGGGAGGAAGTGGCTGTCACTGGATTCACAGTTCACAGCTGTACCACGCTCCTGTTATCAGCAGAGAGACCTGAGTGCTGGCTACAGAGAATGGAGATGATTGTCCCAAAGGCTGTTACACTGAACTTGCTACTTACACACACACACACACACACACACACACACACCCAAGCCCATCATAAAAGCGTATCAGCTCACACAGATGCTGGCCAAATGAAGCACGTGTCCCTAGTACTTCCTTTAACTGACAACAACTAGGTCTGAGGCTTGAGTGCCTGAGATGCCCCATCTCATTTGTTTTTCTTCCTCACATCAACCCTCAGCTTTGTAGAACTAGCTCGTTTTCCTACACTCCCGGCAAGTAACACTTAGAAATGATACAGCCTTTCTCAGAAATCATTTAAACACGATTCTGTTCTCCGTGGCCTTATTGTGCATTTCTAAATCCTGAATTTTCTTTCAGCTGGTAAAGTTCTGTAAGTCTGGTTACAGCCACGGAGGTGGAGGACGCAAGCACAGGGATGGCGTCTGGGACCTGCAGAGCTGCGCAAAGGGGCAGGATGTGAGCTGACTCCTCTGCTTTCGGAAGAAGGAAGGGGGACAGGGACAGAAGCCACCCTTAACCCTCTGACTGCCAGGCCACGTGACTTAGGGCCATTTTTTGTCATTATTTTTTCAATTTATTTAAAAACAGGATGATTAAATGAAACAACTTAGATAGAAGTCACAACAAACCTGGACTCATTTATTTAGGACTCGGGAGAAGAGTAGGTCTCCACTGAAGAGCATAGTGCTTAGGGGGAGGGAGCATCTCCTTCCTCTTCAGGACTTCTTTCACTAAGAAAGTGAGGCTTTCCCATGAAATTGAGTAAACACGCAGTCAACAAAGTGCTCCTCACAGAAGCAGTCAACCATCAAGATGTGGCATTTCAACCCAACACATCAACCAGTAAAATGCTTCAGTTAATTTCTGTTCTGAGCTGGATAATTTTATGACCACTAATTATGTCTGCAGCCACACACGGAGAAAAGCATAAAAATAGCTGTCCTTTCATTGAAGGAACCCTTTCAAATATTAACTTAGCAATCTCCTCCACAACGCCCAGAGGTAGTAGATAGGCAGGTAAGTCTTGGTTTTCTGATTTTATAGATATCATGGATGCATGAGAGGTTAGTGCAGTGGCTTTTCCAAGGTCAGGGACACACCTTGAAATGACAAATGGGTGAAGGAGTCTGGAGTTCTGTCATTCAAAAAGACATGCCCTAAGTACTGAAGACAGCTTCTCTAAGGCTCCAGGTCCTGGATAGAAGACTGAGGTAGACCAGGAGCCCAACATGCATTTCCTAGTACTGAAAACATCTTGCCCATGGGCCTGGTATGTGACATAAATACAAAATTTTAGTCATACATATAAGCCTATGGACGAGAACAGGAAAAGCACAGAGGTGGGTGGAATGTGCTCACAGTAGAGAAGGAGATAGGGGGGTGGCTTTGGACTCCCTCCACAATCACACCAGACTTGGCCTTCACTTGTGCCCTTGACTCTTACTACCCATGTGACCTTGAGTAAAGACATTTTCATTTGAAGCCTCCATTTCTTCCATGTGAAATGGAGCTAAATCCCTATCCGGGACACAACCTTGACAAGTGAAGAAGGCAGCTCATTTACACGCGCAGCTGAGCACCTGGCTCAGGGTGAGCACTCGAAAGAGGAGGCCATTCGATCTTCATAGTAAGACCCCTCCAGGGTTTCTTGCGGTTGAAATGGGAGAAAGTTTTGATCCCCAAGAAGCAATGATACTTTGCCGCCCCTGTCCCATGGTGGTACTCTCAAGTAGACACAGACAAAGTCAGGCATGATGCCCATTAAAAATTTAACTATATATCATATTCATTTATTATCAATCCACAGGATAATTTGATTGCTACATGAGCTCATAAAAGCTTTTTCACCTTTACAAAATTAAAAAAAATGTGCCACAAGGATGTAATAACAACTGCTGATAAACAAGAAAAGGAATCTTAAAATTATAAATTTGCTGTAGAAAAGATAAAAAACAATTATATTTTCTTTAGAATTTTACCTTGAATAAAATATTCCCCTGTATAAAAATAAAAAAGCTTGCTCTGGTTAGAATTAGAATATTTTTGTCTTCAAATCTGGGAATTTGTATAATATCTCCATGATAAGTTTTCCTTTGTACCGCGTGGCATTCAAGCACAGCAGATTAGATTTTCTTTTTTCTTTCTTTCTTTTTTTTTTTTAAAGCAGTCTTAAAAATGGGACATCTGTGGAGAAGTTCATTTTCTTCTTCTCCTCAGGGATGTGGAACACCGCCTTTGCGGGGAGGAAAAGGAGGAAAGGAACTGGATGGGATGGGCTGGGAAGCGGGACAAAGGGCCGCGAAGGGGTTGGTGGGGAGCGCTGAATGTGCTGAGAAATAGAGCAAGATCACAAGAAGAAGGTCTATCTGTAAGTGCTTTAAGATAAGGTGCAGAAGCAGACTGCAACGTCGCTAGTACTGCCCTATGTACATATTCACAAGAATAAAAAATTCCAGCTAGTTCACATTTTCTCATCCGTTCTGAGGCATCCACTCCACCATGCTGGCCTTGACCACAGGCAATGCAGCACCTCGCTGCCCGTGTGAGTGTTGGTCCTATGACGTCCTTGAACTTGAGGGAGCAGCCCTGGGAGATCCAGCAGGCTCTAGAGATACGCGTCTACCAATGGGCTGGAGTCCTGAGTTAAAAAGAAGCTCCAGTACTGGAGTTGGACACAGCAATCAGTGTTCTATTGTCAAGGCTTTTTCCCTTAGATTTGTCTAAAACAGGTGTCAGAGAGAAAAAATAAAATACAAACAAACAATAAAACAAAGCCAAGAAATCCCAACAACCACCAGGGGAAGTCGAAGGCTTAACAGCTCTTGACACGGGCCTGGGTGATATCGGATGTTTTCTTGATGACGCTGGCCCGAGTCTCCCGGTCCGGCCGACTGCTGCTGGGCGCTGGGGTCACGGAGGGAGGGAGGGGCAGGTCTGGTAAAGTGGGCCACGAGCTGTTGTAAGGCACCGGACAGCTCTCCTCTTTGATGGTGACCTGGAGGTCGGGTTTGTTGGAAGTAACGAAGGTCGCCATGCTGGGCAGCAGGTAGGTGCTTCGCGTCCCCATGTTGCTGAGGTACTGTTTGCCTTCAATATTCCTCTTCCGCCAGTGTGGTCGTCCCTTTCAAAGAAAAGAATCAAGATATATATCTTTTTCTTTGCCTTCGATCGAATGGCTTAAAAAAAAAAAAAAAAGATGCCCCCCACCCCCCTCCACCCCATTCCCACATGTTGGTGTGTTAACTGAGTTTCTGAAGAGGCGTGGAATGAATAGAAGCTTAGCGACTCGACATCCCTCAACTGAGATCCACACCCAGCTGTTCACATCCCAAGCAATGGTTTCTCTTCCCTTTTCATCAATTCCCATTTGCTACCTCCCAGAAAAATAGCCAAAACTATTCTATGAAGGCAGGAAAATAAGGCAGCAACTTGGTTTCTGGTTCCCCTCTCCTCCGGTCCCCCAGCCTGATCATGAGGTAGGTTTTAGGTCATCACGGCTGGTGTGTCATAGAGTCTTGCTTCCTCACTCACGGCCCAATCCAGCCTTTTGAGTCAATCTGTGCTTTCAGAGAAAGGGAAGTGAGGAACCCAGAAGGCGAGTGCCTTTCCACTGCTTTCAAACGGGTACAGCTTAGCGCTCCAGCGTGCCAAGCAAATAGGGGGTCTCAAGGGTGGCTTCACTCAAAGAAGGCAACGGAATTTCTGACCTTGAAGAAACAGGGTTGGAATGTCTGTGAGCATCTACACTTCCTGTCTTTTCAGAGTTCCTGGACTCCACTTGAAGTGTTTAGTACACTGGGAAATCAGGGACTGAAACAACCATTAGTCAGTCAGTCGCTCTCTCTTTCTTTCTCAAACAGACACAAAGCCGGAGGTTACAGCCATTTCCTGCCATTGTGGGAGCCCAGCCTGGAGCAGACTGAACACACACCTAGCCCCTGGGCACGGACCACAGAGGGAGGGGACTCCAGGTAACCGTGGCGATTCTTTGGCTTGGCCCTTTCTGACGGTGACTTCCCGTCACTGCTTTTGGCCACTCGGCCCTTCTGTTTCTGCTGGTGGATTAGGACGTGTGCAGTGGTGAGAATATCCACAATTTCCGGCCTCCACCTCAGTCGCCATTTCCTGCCGTCAGAGCCTCTTTTTCTAATGGGAACACCTTACTCTTTCCTCCCATTCAGCTCCCAAAGCTTAAATCTATACTTCAAAATCCAAAAGTACAGTAAATTTTCATGTTATGTATATTGGATGACACACACACACACACACAAAGTCCTCCAGCAGAGCTTCTGATCAGACTTGGAGAAACGTAACTAGCAGCAAGGAACCCGGAGTGTTGGTGGGGAAGGCTCTCCCACAGCGTCTGTTGGAGCCGAGTGGCGGCCGCCATGCTTACCTCGACGCTCTCTTCGTCACTGGGCACGCTATCGGTAGTTTCGCTTTCTGTTCACAGAGAGAAAAACACAGGGCCATCATTCCTGCCGCCCAAACTGTGGTGAGGCTCAGGCAGTGTTTAAAAAATATATCAGCATTTCTTTTTTTCAAAGGAGAAATGGGTCAGCGAACTCATGATCGTCACCCTCGTTGTGAGGCTCAATAAACACTTGTACTTGGGAGATGCTAGAGTGGATTTTATTTCTCTGATTTTGGCCCTTCATCCAAGAGTCGGGGGGTAGCTCCCTCTCCAAGGGCAGGCTATGTTTTCTCATGGCCCGTACCTCCCAGGATTGGGGTGGTGGCCCCACGGTGCTCCCCGGGACCTCTGCTCACTCCTGCACCCACGTCACCCTCTTTCCTCAAGTCTGCTCTATCCACACACCCCACTCGTGCTTTCTTCCAATCCCTGTCAATTAGTTCATTCCAGTCCCAACTCAGAGCCTTCCTGGATCACCCCCACTTACTCGGATCCCTCCTTTACCTCGTATCCCTTTCATACTTATATCTTGGGTTTATAAAGTTGCATCTTCCACCCGGGTTACTGTGGTGGACAGATTCTAGGGTGGCTCCCATGATCCTCATCTCCTGGTGTTTACTTGCTGGTTGGGACTCCCTCCTCTGCAATGTAGCTGGGACCTGCGACTTGATTTGAAGCAACAGAACACCGTGAGCGATGGGATGTACATGACTATGTCAAGTAAGATCGAATCCTGTCTCGTGAGGAGACTTTCTCCCTTGCTGGCTTTGAGGAAACAAGGAGCCATGCTGGGAAGATTTGCATGACAAAAAAACTAAGAGCTGCTTCTGGCCAACAGCCAGCAAGAAACTGAGGCTCTCAGTCTGACAACCCGCAAACAACTACATTCCACCCCAAATCCTGTGAGCTTAGACATGGACCTCCTCCCCGACATCCCGCCCTCAGACGAGCTAGCAGCCCTGGACCATACCTTGACCACAGGTCTGTGAAGGCAATATGCTGAGCAGAGAACGCAGCTAAGCCATGCCTGCACTCCTGACCCTCAGAAACTTGGGCGAGGAGGGGATAACAAATGTGTGTTGTCTTAAACTACTAAGGTTTGTGGTTATGTTGTGATGCAGCAATAGACAACTAATTCGCTTACCATCCTGACTCAGTCTGCCAGCTTCGAGACACAGAGCAGGTTCCCTAACTTCACAGAGTGTAGTTTCCTCATCTGTAAGACGGGAGTATTGACATCTTCCCAAGAGGATTAAGTGATGAATCAGTGAGAGGATGTGTGGGAAAAGGACTAGCACAGGGCCTGGCCCACAGCGTACACTCAATAAATGGTAGCACACCTTTGTCCTGAGCTCATCGGCCTTGCTCAACAGTGGATTTGCACAACAGGCTAGATTAACAGAGTCTAAGTCAATAGCTAGCGATCACACATCACCTGTACGTATAATACAAGATTTTTTTTAAGTGAAATATTTTTCATCTTTTTTAAATAAAAAATTGATGGTGTGCAGCTCTTCAGTGTCTATAGCATTGAGAAATGAAAGCACAGAAGGTAGAGAAATACACTGAGCCTTAGAGATCCCTGAGTCCGGGTCCTTCCTCTACAGACAAGGCCTAGAGAGAGCATCATGGGGAACGTTTATAGAGAGCCGGCACCTGGGCACGCAGGCCTTGTTTAGCCCCCGCAGAAATCTTCAGTGGGAAGCAGCTCCCATCGCCCCCTTTATGCAGAAGAGCTCAGGTGCTCTGACACCTTCTACCTCTTTCCGCCCCAAACCTACGGAGCGGCTGACCTCCAGGCTCACATCTGGCTGGTGGCACAGCTGGGACCCGAGGCCTCCAGCCCAGACGGAGCCCTTTCGACCATGCGGAGCCGGAGCCCCCAGAGCAGAATCTCTATGACTTAAAGGTTAAAGAACAAATGGATAAACTGAGCCACAGGTTCATCCCTCCAACGACGAAAGCGAGAATGCTGACCACCCTGGGCCCGCCCTGAAGACTTTCTCCAGGGACGTCTCCCCTCCCCTCCCCGGGGGGGCTGCCCGGGAGCAACCAGAGCACGAGCCTGGCCTCTCCTCTCCTCAGACCCAGCAGACTTCCCCACAGCATCCCCAGCAGTGAGCAACGGCCATCCGAGGAAGGCTTCGCCTGGGCTGACGACGACCCTAGCTCAGGAGGCCCATGGGCCACAGCCGCCACGAGCAAAACAAGTTAAAAAGCCTGCTCGCAGAACCCTCGTGCTGGCGCGGTATCCCAGGGAGGCAGGGATCGGTATGGCCCCTCCCAAGAAGAATGAGGAACAGAGATGTTGAGAAACCTGCCAAAGCTGTGGCCTGAGTCAGCACAGAGGAGAGAAAACACAACTGTACATCTGACTCCGGGCTCCGGGCGCTGCTTCCCCGCAGGGAGAGCTCCTGCAGCTCGGGCTGAAATTTCAAGATCCCCTTTCCATTTTTATGCTTAGCTTTCTCTCTGGGCTCTGAAGCCAGGGTTCCTCGTCCTCTCATACGCGTCTAGACCCTCTTTGCTCCTAATTACCTTCCATCAATACCATCATCTTCTGTTCCTTTTCCTCTTCAAACAGAAACAAATACACGCCAGAGGCATGTGGGGCAGGGCAGGGGCGGGGGGGGGCAGCTGGAAATCCATGGAAATGAGCAGTTAACACCAAGGTTCTGGGATCCTGCCCCAACCCCAGCTGTGGGAGGGGGTGGAAGGCAGACCCTGGGCAGACTCCTTGGTAAGACCTCGCAGAGACTGTGAACGTGACCAGAATATTCACTGCCCTCGAGGACCCAGTTTTTGTTTTGTTTTGTTTTGTTTTTTTAAGGATTTTATTTATTTATTTGACAGAGAGAGACACAGCGAGAGAGGGAACACAAGCAGGGGGAGTGGGAGAGGGAGAAGCAGGCTGCCCGCGGAGCAGGGAGCTCGATGCGGGGCTCGATCCCAGGACCCCGGGATCATGACCTGAGCCGAAGGCAGACGCTTAACGACTGAGCCACCCAGGCGTCCTGAGGACCCAGTTTTCAAAGCTTCAGGGAACCAGTCTGAGACAAGAGAAGACATACATGTTCTGAACTGACATTTTCAGCTAACGCAAATGTTCGTCAAGAGAGTGGCTTCTAAATTAAGATCACCTGCTTCGGGAGTCACTCTGAAGGATCTCCGTATTAACAAGCTGATGAGCAAGCAAGCAAATTTCTAGTTTTTATTGCTTAAAAGAATGGCCCTGAGTGCCTTTCACCTAGGAGCACGAGATGCCTCAAGCTCCAGCCGGAGGACCCGAGACTCTTCTCTCCGGAGTAAGCTTGGCTCTCCCAGCTACCCAGACACCACTGGTTTGTTGGGTGCACACAGACCCATCTTCCTGTTTCCTTGGTTTTCCTTCACTGTTGCCATTCTCAAGATCCCTTCCTATTATCACAAATGAGTTCATGGCAGCTGCTGCATTCAGATCAAGGCCACCGCCGAGTATCAGCCTGCACTCTTCTTTCATTTTCCCTTTTGAAGAATTTAGATTTGTTTTTTTATTGGTGGTGAATACAGTGGAATAAAAAAAAATCGGAGTTGCTTCACTAGCGGGGCGTGACTAAGTGGAAAGTATTTGCAGGGCATTACAGGTACATGAGTAGCTCATTTCAACACTGTGGTCCCAGTTTCCCTGAAAGTGACTGGTGGGAGGAATGGGGATCAACCCTGGGACGGGCTGATCTCAAAGATTCTTCTTCCAGAGGAGACACTAGTCTTAGCTTCACATGCCACTTCAGCCCAGTTTTTATTGTCCAACCACCTCGGGAACATTCTGGGGAGGGAGACAGGAGGCTTAATGTGAAAGTCTTTTTTTTTTTTTTTTTTTTTTTTTGCATTCTGACATCCTGGTACGTTTTCTGGAAGACTCTTGTTCAACCAGTTTTACTAATAAGATTGACAAAGATTTCTTTCTCTCGATCCTTTCCTCAACTCACTAGAAAGCTCAATCAAAAGGTTCAAATCAGAGTCTTCTTCATTTCAAAGCACTGTTACCTTTGCCCCACCCAACAAAATGCAAGCCTGCTATGGTTTCCAGGAGGACCCAAAGTCTTTATTGCCAGTTGCTGGTCAGATGCTGACAATCTCCATTCTCTCAGTTATAACCAATTAATCCTTTCTATTACACTCTTCTCCATCCTCTCGTCCAGTCCTCCACAAAATCCTACCGTGGCTTTCTTTTACTAAATCCTCAATAACCTAGTAAAATCTTGGTGCCATACATACATCAGGCAAGAGGCCACCATACAGAAGACCTTTAAATATAAAATGCCTGTCCTCCGCAGTTTCCCAAGGTTCGGCTCTGGGATATCTCTCTGCATGATGAAAGTTCTAAGAATCCAACAAGAAATTTATATGGTCTTAAAACATCCCATGCAAGTACATCCACTCAAGGAAACCCCCTCTCTTCTTGCTCACCACAAAATGATTTAGACCACAGAGAAGATGGACTTGCAAAACGGACTGTTTATACTTCAATGATCAGTAAGCGTAAAAAAAAAAAAAAATCACAAACAACAACCTCCAAATACCAGTTTCCTAAGCAAGTGAATGAAATGGTGAGAGGAAGTTGAAATTCAATTGAATTTCAGCCCAAACAAAGGAACCTGATCACAAAAAAAACACAAAAAACGAAACCAGACAAGCAGCTTATCCTATTGGGGAACATAAAGTAAGAAGGGTGAATGAACTCAAAAGCTGCCTTTCCCAGCAGAACGCTATAAAATTCCTTGACTGAAAGACCTCAACCAGCCACAGTCCCTAACAGGTAAATTTCGGGTCTGTAAGCTCTGGAAAATTGGCAGTGATGAAACATCTTGGCTCCAGCCAATGAGCCTCCCTCCAAACGGTTCTGGAGAATTCAGACAATGACACAAGGGAGAGAACCAAAGGCCAGACTGAAGAGCCAGCCTCCAACCACAGTCCCCCTGCCCGTCAGCCTGGCACTGCGATCCTTCTTTGCAAATCTATGCAAATGTCCTGAAAAGGGTAATGAAATTTTCGTCTCTCTCTGCATGGATCAGCTGTTCTTGGGATTCTTCGCCGAGGCAAGATGCCTCGAGGGCAGAACAGCGAGGACATCTTTGTGGAAGCCTCAAGGAGGCTTCAGGAAGGCTTCAAGAGATAAACAGAGAAGTTTATTCTGAGGCTCCAAGCCTTAAAAAAAATTAAAACAGCTACATGCAGCAGCACGATGTAGAAGAAAGTCACACGTTTTCAGCCATAGCTGTGTAAATATATGCAAAGTAGCCTGGTGTTATCTCAACTGTAAAATTAAGGCAGAAACACGCTGCTCTGCCTCCTTTGGTGGGTCCTGGAGGTCGGGGATGTGGGTGCGTTCTGCACCCCAGAGCCCTGTGCACGTGTCCAGGGCAGCGTTACCGGGGAAGGGTTGAGCCCGGGCTGCTGGAACCAGCGACACGAAGGTGGAACCACTGTTCTTCCCCGGACACACTGCCTTACCCACACTGGCCTTAGGTTCCTAATTTTTAAAGAGGGAATAACAATGATACCCAGGCTGACAGGGTGATTCTCCTGACGATGAAGCAAGTCAGCTGCTTCCAAGCATGGAGCACATCTCCCAGGGCACCACAAACATGCAGCAAATAGTAATTATTATCACTGGGGCCTGGCAAAGACCACCAAGGATCTCGCACAGGTAGGGGCTCAAAACGTGATGACAAAACAACCCGTGAGCAGCTTCGCCTCTTTGACTGATTACAGGCTTCTTGTAGTCAAGGTTCACTCTCACGTTCCTTCTATGTTCCTGGCATAGAAGAAAGTCAGGATCTCGAGGACCTTAGGTGAAATCAGCCCATCACAAAAGGACAAGCACGGTACGATTCCACTCCCGTGAGTCACCCAGAGCAGCCAAATTCACGGAGGTAGAAAGAGCGGGGCGGTTGCCAGGGGCTGGGGGTAGGAGGGGGAGGGGAATTGGTGTGTCTCGAGGACAGAGTTTTAGTTTTGCAAGATGAGAAAGTTCTGGAGCTGGATGGTGGTGACGGTTGCCTAACAAGGCGAATGCACTCACTGCCGCCAAAATGTGCACTTAAAAATAGCAAAAATGGCCAATTCTGGGCTATGTCCATTTCACCGCAATTTGAAAACATAAGCTAAAAATATAGAAAGCTGGTGTCCAGAAAATAGGCGGTTAGGTCAGTGGCTGACAATTCACAAAGAACCTGTCCTTTGAACCAACCTAATTCTAATTCTGACTGTGTGCCAGCCACTGGGGCGGCCCCCGAACTGGGGGACACTGGGGGCACATCAAGGACACTAGGAAGATTCCTGAACGGGTATTAGAGCTGACGGTAGCTCCTCGGGATAGGGCCTCTGCTTTCTAGTTTTAATGTCTGCAAGCAATAACATTGACTCAGAATTTATATTTCTAATTATAAATGAGTCCCCTGAAAATTAAGCAGAGATCATGGGAGAGCGTAAGACGATAAAATGATGGTAGACAAGGGAGCCCCCACTTTGTGCTGTAAAGATGGAAGAACCACGCGAATCTGTTCTAATCCTAGGACTGTCTGGGTCAATTCCTGGGTCGTTACGTGGTCCTTCCCTAGGGAATCATATCCGGGCTCAGGCACCTGGCCTGATGAGAAGCTGCACTGAATTGAAAGAGACGGGGAAAATAAGTGGAAACAAATAAACATGGTGGGTTGGGATGAGGCTCCGGGTCTCAACGCTGAGTTGAAGTCCTGACCCAAACACTCACTGGCCATGTGACCTAGGACATGTGCCTTCACTTCCAAAAATTCCGAAGGAGCTGGAAGGAATGGTCTCCGAGGTTCCATCCAGCTTGGTCAAACTCAGATTCCATTGAAAACACCCTTCCGGATTTCTGATAACTTATGCAAATAAAATAGACTTCGATGAACTACTTCTCCAAAGAAATATTGTTAGTCATGCACGAAAACGTTATGGGTGATCAAGTCAAGAAATGCTGTGGCCATGTCTTCTGAGAACACAAGTACCCAAGAAGATGTCCGTGGGGAAAATAAAGCAAGAATAATTCCTAGGACAGAGGAGAGGCTCTTTGCTGTGCAGTGAAGCAGGTGGCCCCACACTGAGGGACTGCCCCCCGCCATCCTTGCTCAGCTCCAAAGGTTCCCACCTACCCTCTTACCTGCATAGGAAGACACGGGGGAAATCTGCAGAGGGTAGAGCTCACTCATGCTGACCGGCTGTTCGTCACTCTCAGTGGTCACCTCTACAACTTGGCAGATGTCCGGAGGGTTAGTGACAATCTCTTGATCCTCGATGTTGCTGTCCAGATGGGACTGTCCTACAACTTCAAAGACAAGACAGCCATCATGCACCAATGCCTGACTCACCGTTCTAGCATGCACTCTCAAGAAAGACAACATTTCCCAAAAGAGTTGAAGAGTCAGGAATCAGATTCTCAGTCACCACATGTCATCGGCCGTGAAACTGAAGAACGGCCTTAGCTTTGGCTTAATGTCTCCAGAGAGGCAGCTTTGCCAGGAACCTGGCCCCCCGAGGCTATTTCCAGCTTGCTGGCCAATGGTGCTTACATGTGGCAATGTCCCAAACTCAATCTACTCATAGCCAAGCCTGCAGGACCAGAGGCTGCATCCAGAGCTAGCCCCAGGGCCACACAGACAGTGCTTTGAACTTGACCCATTTCTGTCCTCTGCTCTTGAGCCGAAGGAAGCTGCCGTGCTGTTTTCCAGGTCCTGGGTCCAGAGAGACATAATCAAACCTTACTAAGGAGAAAGGACCACCAAAATCCACTCCATTGTATCATTTCCAGCTCTGGGGGCTCTGTTCATGCTCCCAGCCCTTTCCTACCCTCCAGGCAACGTGACCACGGGAGGAAATATCAGAACAACGGGACAGAATGCTTTCCCAAGCCTCGCACAGATTTGCCACACCAGCTCCCCAGGACACCGAGAAGATGAATTCCCACTACCCTGGTTCTGAATCCTGCCTCAACTTTTTGTTAATTAAACTTTTTAGTTCGAGTTCATTGTAGATTCACATACAGTTGGAAGAAATAATAGACACAGATCCCGGGTGCCCTTTACCCAGTTTCCCCCAATGGAAACATCTTGGAAAACTCCAGCACGCTATCAGGATGCTGACACTGATAACAATCTACACTTGTTGTTGATTTTCCCAGTCTCACTCGTACTCCTCTGTGTGCGTGTATATGTGTCTGCCATTAGTTTTTATGCAACTGTATGTCATCTCATGTGTTCACCTCATGTGTTCACCATATGTCATCTCATGCGTTCACCAGCATAGTCAAAATACAAAACAGGTCCATCATCACAAGCATCTCCTATACCCACCTCCCGTTAGCCTCTCCTCCCCACCATTTCTAACCCCTGACATCCACTCATCTGTTCCCCGGTTCCGTAATTTTTGTCCTTTCAAGGATGTTTCACGAACGAGCTCACACAGTAACCTTGTGAGAGGAACTTTTTTCACTCAGCATAATTCCCTGGAGATCCGGCCACGCTGCTGTGCAGTATATATCCATGGCTGGTTCCATTCCACTGCTGAGTAATACTCCCTGGTGTGGGTATACCACAGTCTGTCTCACTATTCATCCACGGAAGGACTTCTGGGTTGTTTCCGTTCTTTGGCTATTACAAACAAGGCTGCCAAGAACAGTTGGGTACAGGTTTTATATGAATGTAAGGTTCCGTTTCCCTGGGATAAACGCCCAAGAGTGCAATCGCTGGATCACATGGTAACTTCATGTTCCATTTTACAAGAAACTGCTGAACCATCGCTGGGCAAGGCTATACAGTTCCACATTCCCAGCAATGTATGGACGACCTAATTCAGGCACATTCTCACCAGCTTTTGGTGTTGTCGCTCTTTTCCTACTTCAGCCACTCAGAAAGGCGTGTACTGGTATCTCATTGTGGTTTTAATCTGAATGCTCCTAATGCCCTCCCCCACTTTTGAGCAGAACTGGCCTTAGACTTCTGTTGGCAATTGACTGAAATATCCCTGAAAACCGGCATCGATAAAGAAATGGAAACAACAAAGGAATAGCAATGTTTTCCCAAGGGCCTCAAAATATTTTGCCACCATAATCAACGTTTTACTCATGCCTGTGTATGTTAGTTTAACATGTCCACCCAGGAGAATGACAGGCAAGCCGTCCTAATCCTTTTATCAATTAAGAAGCTCAGGCACAGAGAGGTAGATTAATTTCCCCAAAGTCACACAGTTCAGGTTCTGTGCAGGGCTCCCCGTCCCTCACATTTTCTCGACCATCAGTTTCGGCAAAATGGCCATCGCGTCCTGATCTTCTTGAGAAGTTTGCCACCATGATGGGCAAGTTCTTGTCTTAACTGCTCGGCATTTTAATTGCTCCAGTATTTTTGTTTATAAATGAGTTCCTGTTTTAATTACTTTCTGGAGAGAGATGAAATGACAAGCACGGGGTAGAGAAAACATGACCTGATTCTATTCAGAGAAGGCTTGAGAAGGGAGTGAGAATTCTCGAGTTCTGGAATGAAGAGAGGGAAGGCACCCAAGAGGCTGGGGGAAGGAGATGTAGGGATGTGATAACCATCCAGAAAGCCATAGCATTCAGAGAGGAAGGGAAACGGAATGTTGTTTAGGTTCTCCTGGAGGGGATAAAATTAAAGAAGAGGAAGGCAGGCTATATATGGCAGGCAGACTCCCAAATTCTTATTTTGTCCTTTGGACTATCCTATTTGAGCATGAAGAGCATCAATTATGCCTTTCACCAGACACAGACTGAGCGCCGACACTGACCTCTCTCAAGTCTCTTCTGCCTCTTCTCCCACGGAAGATAAAACGGCAGGAAAACAAGATTTCCCAAATCCTAAAAGCCGGTGGCAGATAGAAACCAAATGGGGCACGCGCGCACATGCACATGCGTGTGTCTGAGGAGGGGCTGGCTGTAAGCGATAGCCTGCCCACTAAGGCAGTTAAGGTCTTCTATAAATTCGATTTAAATCAAAGCCACTCTCACTTCCAGTTCTCCAAAGTTCAATTCTCTCTTGCCCTGTCGTTCCAAGTAGACAGCAAGCGAGCTGGGAGCACACACAATGGCAGCAGCTCAAATGTCTTCCTGTCCCAACAGCCCCTTGCTCTGACCAGGAATTCTCCCCCTCGCTGCTTTTCCCCCACAACGCCCAGCTCAGTCAGTCATTCAACGCCCGGAAGATTTACTGAGCACCTACTTTGTAAGAGACGTTGTTGTCAAGTACGAGGAGGGGCAGAGCACGATCAATCCAGTCAAGGGCCTGGTTTGTGAGAACTCTGGGAGGGCTCCGGGCCAGCACAGGATGCTCTAGAGGTTAAGTTTAGGACAGTTGTGAAAAGAAAAAGAAGGGAAGGGGGCCGGGGAGAGGCCACATGAAAAGAGTTGAGAAAGTGGAGTATTTTTTTCCAGTCCGAGGAATCAAAGGCTTCATTGAGGCAGTAACACATGGGTTGGAAGGGGAGGGTGAGCAAGAGGCAGTATTCAGAATGCCTCTGTCTTTCTGAGCCTTCTCCTGGCCACCCCAGAACAGACGGTCCTCTCCTTCCAGAGCGTCTCCCTCTCACTGTCCCCACTGCTTGGCCGAAACTACAACGTGACACACCCTTGTCCCACTTCCTGCCTTTCTGCCTCATATCGCAAGTTAATTCTATATATCTCCCTTTAACTTTTTATTTGTGTGCCTCCTGTCCCAACCAAGTGGTGGCTCCTGAGAGAGTTGAGAACTGGGATTAGAACCTCCTGTACCAAATCCCAGCACAGGCTCATGACTTACGCCCGCGGGCAGCTCCATGAAGCTCTGCTAAACAAACCGACGAGTGGACAGACCGAGGCCCACCGACCACAGCCAGAGTCCCGCAGGAGATCACGACCACTTGGAAACACCGCGTGTGACAGTGAATGCTTCCTAGCAAATTTCAAGACTTCTGGCAAGGGGGCTTTTCAGAACCTAGATGAAGTGATGGAGACAGAGGGGGCCGTAGTTGCCCGAAGCTGGGGGTAAGGGGAGGAAATGTTTGGGGTTGATAAAATGTCCTGGGTCTTGAATATAGTGGTGGTTGTACATGCTTCTGTCAAAACTCACAGAACTGTACACCAAAAGGGGTTCATTTTACGCTATTTCACTTAACATCTGAACATCACTGGGGGCCCAACTCACAAGCTGCAAGCCCAAAGGAGAAGCAAGGAATTCCCAACGTCTGAGATGCTCTCTGGATGCACTTTAGGCACTAGCCCCAATCAACTGACCGATCTCTCTCTCACTCATGAGTTCCCTGAACCACCAGCCTTTGTCCCAAGTGACAACATGGACAGTAACACTGACTCCTGACAGTCAAAAAGACACTCACATAGCCAACTGTTAGCAATCTGCTACAGCAAATCAAGTCAGAAGTGATACCATGCGGGGTGCCCGGGTGGCTCAGTTGGTTAAGCGTCTGCCTTCGGCTCAGGTAATGATCTCGGAGTCCTGGGATCGAGCCCCTCATCGGGCTCCCTGCTCAGCGGGGAGTCTGCTTCTCCCTCTGCCTCTGCCTGCCACCCCCCTGCTTGTGCTCTCTTTCTCTCTCCCTCCTTCTCAAATAAATAAATAAAATCTTAAAAAAAAAAATTGCCACCGTGTGGGGCACCCGAGTACCCTGACTGATAAATAATAGTAACAAAACCAAACACTTCCTGAGCACTTACCTTTGCCTTTCCCACTCAGCCCTGACCTCCCACCTGGAAGACTCCACGACGCCATGAGGAAGGTACAATTATCGTCCCCATTCTAGACATGAGGAAAGGCATCGTGGAGAGTTAAATATTAATTCAAGGTCAGACGGCCAGTAAGTGGCAGAACCACAAATCAAATTCCACTCTCCCTGACCCCGAGGCTCAACTCAAATACTCTGCAGGGAGGTCTCCCCAACCGAAAGAGCTCATCAAGTTCCCACCGGGCTGCTCCTGGCTTTCTAAGCCCATCTGAGGATAAAAACTTAGGAATCTCACCTTACTGAGACTCTGGGCTCATAACCAGTAGTGAAACGGCTTTTCAGCAGCTCTATATTGGGTGCCAAGGAAATTCTCCAATGGTTAGAGGAGCTAGGAATCCACTAAGCTTCTCCAGCACATCAGGTCAGCCCATCAGGAAAAGAGTCACCCACAGGAATGTAATTTTATCTAGACCTAGTTGCTAAGAATTGCAACAATATTATTCATGGCTGCTTACTGATGAACCAGTTTGGTTCCTTAAAAGGTCATTCTAACTTTATTAACAATTGCTGACTTAATGTAGGCCTCCACCTGAGAAAGCAGTT